TGAAATGCCCCAGCCCCGCTGTGCCCCCGGGGCCTGCTGCCGCTTCGCCCGGTCGCCGCTTTCTCCCGTCCCGCAGCCGGTTGCATTAGCTGCCCGGCGGTCGGTGGGGCCGTTTCGGGATTTGGCCGGGTTCCTGGTTCGGCCGCTGTTAAACAATAACCGCCCTCCCCCCGGGGAGGGCCGAGCCGCCGCTGCGGAGCCCCATCGCACCGGGTGTGTGGGTGCGCCACCGCAGGGCGGGCGTGGCGAGTGGGCCGAGGCACGTTTTGGGGGTTTTGGGAAGCTGTTTCTCCGGTGAAGGAGAGGCAGCCCGGTGTGGGCGTGGCGAGAGGGCTGTAGGGCTGTCAGGTGCTGGGAGTGCAGAAGTTCGGCTGCTTTTCGAGCCGCGGGGCCCGGGAGCGGCAGCGGCGAAGCTCGGTGGCTGTTGTGCCTCAGCGGGAGGACGTGGCTGTCCTCCTCCTCTCTCCCCCAGCAGCGAGGGGGTGTCCCGAAACGAGCCCAGACTGCTTTTACCGCGGGCTGCGCTGTCGGCAACCGGCTGCTGGCATCGTCTGGTGGGGTGGAAGGGGTTGGTTTGACACCACCTTCAGCCCTGGTCAGATTAGAGGGTGCTCCAAAGCTCTAAGAAACACAGATGTTTTTGTCCCGACTGTAAAAGTGTATGTAACAAAGTTCTTTGCCAAAGGGGTGCTTTATATCCTCCTGCTGATCTAGACCTCGATGTTCCTGCTCTGGCAGGGGAGTTGGACTAGATGATCTCTAGAGGTCCCTTCCAACTCTGAAAATTCTGTGATTCAGTGATGTTGCACTTCAGTGTTTGCTTGTTCTTATTTCATCAGCTGAACTGAGCTGTGCACAATTCCCTGTGCACCTGAAGGCATGGGGTGCTGCCACCTGGGTGCCTCTGTCCTTCAAGGCTGTGAGTTGTGTCACTTCACGCCTGCATATGCTTGGCAGAGCAAGTCATCCTATTCTTTTTCTTTTTTCAAAGCCTGAAGAGGACCAAAAGCTGATTTATTCTGGGAAGCTGCTGCTTGATCATCATTATCTGAGAGAGTTGCTGCCAAAGGTATAAAAAAAATCTTTTATGCTGTGCTGAAATTTATCAAGAAAAGTGATTTTTTTAACATGTCTTCCCTTATATTTTAGCATGGAGACTTGCATGCTCTTCATTTGGTATACAACTTCAAGACTCCTGCAAATATGCAAGAAAGCAATGCAGAGGTACATAGACTAAGTTAACATACTACTCAGAATGTTGGGGTTGTGGCTAAAAATGTGAAGTACTGAATGGCTGTTTCAAAGTTCACTGATACCACAGCTTTTTCCTACTAGTGCAACAGCAGTATTACTTTGTAATAATTTTGTTAGGAGCATGAGAACGTATTTGGATTAAGCTGAGGACAGATGAACAGCAGAGTCAATTTTTCAAAGACTGCATGGCACCTGTTAAGAAATATCAAAACTATAATCCAGTTGTAACATACTGCTTGGAGAAGTGCTTTCTGATAAATTCAGTTTTATTAAATAGAATATGACCTGTTACGTTCTGGGCTCTTTTGGACAGGGGCTGTGCTTGTGGGTAGAAGACATCGTAGTTAGAGTGGAAGTGGTTCTGGTCTGTGTGTGGGGAAGGAAGAAGGCTGTTAGCTGAAGACATCTTAACTGCTCTCATTAATGACTCAGCCTGTAGAGAGGAAGTGTGTACTTATTGGTCTTAAACAAATGGCCAAACACAATTTTTACTTCTAAGTGGATGTGCTAATGTGTCTAGAGGTGTGGTTACATTGCCTATTATAGGCAATCTGAGCTTATTCTGCCCATGTCTGGTGGCTGCTAGATGTGAGCCAGCTTTGGTCTGGGTATTTTACTGATAAACTGCAATGGAACAACTCTTGAATTCTGTTTACAGCAGCTTGTGTGTGAGTACAGAGTTATCATAGCTAAAAAGTCAATCTGTCTTGAGTGTGGTTCTCTCTGTTTCTTCCAGTTACATTTTTATAACCAGATGGGACCTGACTGTGGTAAAAAAAAATTAAAAATGCAGTGTAGATCTCATGAAAGGAAGGAGTAATATCAAGTCATTTTTACATGCCAGTCACTTTTTAAGGAGCTTTAAAATACTGATGGGAGGTTCTTGTGGCACGGTGCCCCAAGAGCAGTGTCAGCTTTGTGGCAGCATCTAGAGGTATTATGCAGGACAAAGTGCATGAGCTGTGTAGCAGTTATAAGAGCCTGTGAAGTGAGGTGTAACCTTTTTGCATAAGGCTTGCATAGTGTCCTGAGTAAACCTTTAACTGCATTGCTGCCCCCAGGTTAAAGCTGATCAGCCAAAGTTACCGTCAGAAGCTAGTCAAGAACCATCTATATCTTCCTCAAATGGTGAAAGACTGAGATGTTCTTCTGGTGGCCAGTCTTCAGCAGAAGCCAGTAACAGGTAAATAACAATTTTTACGTGTGTCTCTAAGATTTTTAAACTGTTGGCTTTGTTGGATGCCAGCTCCTTATGCCACATCTACTGTCTTAAGCCCATAGAACATGGGCCAAAGCTGATGAGGTTATACTTAAACCTTCAATGGACATGTCAGAAGTTGAAGGAAAATGCACTGCTATGTTAGTTAAAAATCTTCCTTTCTTCATGTGGGTAGAGCTGTCTTTAACACTTCAGAAGGAAGAATTAATTTTGAATTTGGATGCACAAAGTGTTAGAAGCTATTTACATTGTCCTGTAACAAATGACTTCCAGTTTGTCCAGAATTTGCTAATGAATGTGTTTTGCCCAAGGCTGGGAACAACTCAGCGTCCCTTCCAAAGTGTGGCTTCTGGCTTTTCTGCTTATACCACCTACAGCATGCTTCAGATGTCCTGGCTTCAGCAGATTTACGCAAGACAGTATTACATGCAATAGTAAGTGTTCTGTCCAAAGCTACAAGTAGAAAATAGAAACTGTAATACAGGGAACTAGAGAGCTTCTGGCAGTTTTTCCTCCCTTGATGGTGGTTGGAAGACTCTTTTTTGTCATAACTTACACTGAATCGTGTGGGAATGTACCTCTAATTGTCATGTGGTTTTGGATCTTGCAAACTGCAGATCTCTGACTTCTGAGTGGGAGGGCAGGTGCCTGTAGAGTAGATGTAGTCCTCCTGATGAGCTTTAGTTTGTCAACATTTTTCTGACTGCTTAAAGTAGCACTCTCTGGAAAGCAGTGACAAAGGCAAGGCTAAGACTTGTAGCAGCCTCCAGACAGTCTTTAGATTGCTCTCAAGATTTTTTGCAAGATATTGAAATAATTTTTCATGAAGTGGAAAGTGTCTGATTTGACTTGCTGAAGTCACTATGCAACTGGTTCATGGGTAGATCTAAAACTTGTTTTTAACCCTCTTGTAGCCTCTAAACTTCATGCTTTCCACTTGCATGTGATCTGACTCTATACTTAAAGACAAATTTCCAGTGCCTGTGTCAAGTGTGAAAGGATTTGACAAAGCCTTATTTTGTACTTGATGTGTTCTGGTTTCAGCTTGGCTTCTACTGCTGCACGTGCCGACCCCTCCCATGCACGGCGTTCTCAGGAGATATCGGTGACACCCTCTGCTCCTCTCCCAGACCCATTTCCAGCACAAAATCAGCCTGGAAACCATAATGCTGCTGCCCAGGTTAATGCAGTGGCCAACCAGAACTTGCGGATGAATGCCCAAGGGGGTCCCCTCATGGAGGAAGAGGAGGAGGGCGGCAATCGAGACTGGTTGGACTGGCTCTACTCAGCAACACTGTTCTATGTTTTTGTCAACATTATCTATTTCTACTCCAGTGTCAGCAGATTCCTCCTGGTTATGGGTGGCACTGTGCTGATGTATCTGTAAGTGTATGTGTAATTGTGTGGTATTGATATTTACTGAGGTATTCAGAAATGTTCCAGTGAAGTACTGAACTCCATTTTGTGGTCAGCTTTCTAGCAGTTGAGCTTCATGTGACTAGTCCCTGGAAAGGGTGAACCATTCCTCTATGCTGCTATAACTCAGTATTTAGCAAAAACAGAAGTATAGCCTATGTCTGGATTAAATGAAGAATGGGTGATAGTGGCTTTTGTACAAATGCTTCTGGTGTGGCTGGCTTTCTTCTTAGACTTCTTGTAACTTAAGTTGGTGTAAAGCCTCAGCAGCTTAGCAGTATAGAACAGATATGTGGGTTCAATAGGATACATGACAGTTGCTTGTAGAGGAAACATTTGAAATCTGGGAAGAGGGTCTCACACCTGCTATCGAAGTCATGTATTCATGTGGGTTTTTCTGCTGCGTGTTGCCTCTCTGGAGAGCAGACCAAGCTAAACTGAATGTGGTGTCTTGAATTGCCTTTGAGCCTCTCTAGGGGAGGAACTCAGGATAAAACTCAGAAGCACCATGAAGATAATGCACCCTCAGTTGGTGTGCTCAGACTGAGAAAGATCTGTCCCCTCAAATTCTCTGATTGCCAGTGATCGAAGTGATGGAGGCTTCAGTTCCTCACAGTGGGTCTAGGAGTTGAAACTGGAGCAGCTCAAATGATCAGCTCTTCCAACCTCTATGCAGACTTGGAGAGTGAAAGTTAACTGCTTCATTAAAACTCCTTATTTTTTACTATTGGTAATTCTAAAGTGTAATTTTGAACAGCTTTATATTGTGGCTTAAAGGGCAGTTGCTCTAGAGATACAGACCTTCTAAGAGTGTCTATATGGCCCGTTATGTTTGGTAACATGGTGCTGTTTTGCATGTTTGTGCCTTGTTTTAGGCTGAGTAGGGAGAAGTTACCCAGGGGTGTACATGATAAACAGGCAGGTTTCAACTCATTCTACCTGTAGCAGCATGTTTTGGCAGGCTGAGCCCTGGTTATAAGTAGAGACAAACCTGGATGTGGTGCTGCTTATTTTGAACATGAGCAGATGCGCCTCCCTCATGGTTTACTACTTGGAAATTACTTACAGGGTCAGGGCAGAAAGAGACCTTAATGCGCTGAATTTGCTAGCTGCAGCTCTGAGCAGTCAGCTGTTACTAGAATGGTGTTACTGTAACAGGAAGGAGTGTTTTTTAACCAATACTAAAAAAAAAGTCTGTTGGCTTCTCCAGGCACCATGTTGGATGGCTTCCGTTTAGACAAAGACTGGTTCAGCCCTTCCCAGGCAATGCTCCTCCTCAAGCTGCTGTAAACCAGGACCAGAACAATAACTTACAGGTACTGTCTTGGTTTTTTTTTCTTTAAATCACAAGCATGAAATCCTGTGAAGTTTTACTTTGTTTACTAATTAAATGTAAGAGCAAAAACTTTATTCTATAAACTTTCATCAGAAACTGTCTCCTGTGGAGGAATAATTGCCAGCCTGCTTCCTCCTTTGTAGCCAGCTCCTCTGTTGTACAAATTATCTTGGGCTGGATGTCATCTAAAAGTTGCTTCTGGCCTTTAGGATGTTGTGATGAAGCGTGGTCTGTTGCAGGCAGAACAGGTTCTGTATCTGAAGGCAGTGTTTAGGTTACTCAGTGCTGGGATTTGACTATATAAGCACTAGGAGTCTCACATACTGAGCTGATGCTTCTGGCTGAGGTCAGTGGAAGTCCCTTAAACACATACGCAGCTTCCCTGAGCAGGTGCTTCCTGTCTGTTCTGAACAGTGTCCTTGGACGCACAGCAGGAGTGAACCAGCAACACTAGAGTGCAGTGTGTTTTTTTTTCACCTTTGTGGTTGTTTGGGGATACTTTCATGCTTTTTATAGTCTGACAGTGATGTGTGGCTAATAAAACATGCTGTTTGACACCTTATCCTTCTCACTCACCTCTGCAATGATCTCACCAAATACCCTTTATGTTGGCAGGGGGAAAATGCAGGCAGAACAGATGGATCCGAGGCATCTCCTGATGAGGGACAAGTTTTACAAGAACTGCAGCAGGCCAACCCCTCATTTATGAGCACAGCATGGGTTTTTTTCAAGACTTTCTTTGCATCCCTCCTTCCAGAAGGGCCTGGAGTGACCCACAACTGATTTGTAAACTTCAGATAAGTCTAATTGTCTGAAACTGCAATGAGATCTGGTCTACCTGAGCGAATTGGATGCCAACTCCAGACTGGGAGTGAAAGTGGACAGCACTTCTCTGGCTTTCACTGACCAAGCAAATGGAGCTGCAGGAGGCCTCAAGTCATTACAGCCTAGAGATGAAGATGCTTGCCCTCATTCCAAAGAACGCTGTTCTGTAGCATTTATTAGGTACCTATGTAGAGGCTTGTCATTGTAAACTTGTGCTTGAAATGCACAGGCTCTAAGCAGGTGTGCAAAACTGTTAAAGAAGCAAATTGCTTCTTCTGTGCAATGTGATTCCTGTTGGAATGTTTCAAATGTTATTTAAATTACACTGAGTGTAGGACCTCAAAAAAAAAAATTGCTAGATATACATTAGCAGATTTTTAAAAAAGGTCTATTGTTAAATTGCTTCAACAATAGTTTAAATTTTCTGTGTAAAAAAAAAAAAGTTTCCCATGAAGCATGTATGGTGCAATTTCACTATTGGATGAAGTGGAGGGCTGTAAGACAGTGACCTCTTGAGCAATTGCCTCAGCAGTGGAGTTGCAGGCTAAATTTCACGTTGCCAAATTCATAGAATTTAAACTCAAGGCTTAATTTCCTCTCCCCACCAAATCATGGGAGAATACGTGCGTTCAGCTCTATCTAGCAAGAGTTTCTGCAAGATGTAAACTTCACTGCTTTTTGGATGCAGAACTAAAGCAGTCTAATGTCTCTATTTGACTTTGAATTCTCACTCCAGAGCAATTCTTGTAGTATTTCATTGTTTCCTTTAATTTCTGATATGATTAAGGGCTTTGATTCCAATAAAATTTGCAGGCATTTATATCTGTATTTGTATATGCTGTACAGCAATCGGAAGGCTCCCTGTGCAGAGCACAGGATGTACCTTCAACTTGTTTTTAGTGAAAAATCACAATAAAGGAGTTGGGATATGGAGGGGGAGGGGAGGAAAGATGCTCCCAGAGCCTTAACTCAGCTCCTTGCCTAACTGTATTCTTCAGTAACCTGTATTTAAAGTGCCTTGGAGTTTGTAGCTTGTGTTTGTTCCCTGAACTCTGCTGGCAGAAAGGCTGTGGACATCTTGAGGCAATTAATTCTGCAGGTAGTTGGAAAGTTTGGAGTTTGAACTGCCGGTGGCTTTACAATGTTTGATCTTGGGTGGGGGATTTATCTTGGCTTGAAGTGTACTGTGTCTAGGGACAACAGCTGCTTCTGAAACTTGTAATGCTCTTCCTCATTGCTACCTGTGGTTGGTAAATCTGTTTAAGAGTGTCCCATCAGGGCTAACATGCGTGAGTTGGTACAAGCAGCTGTAAGAGCCTCACTGGTAGTGCTTGATCTTGCCACTTCAGATGAGGTGGATGTCAGACATGGTTTGCTGGTGTTACCTGCAGTAGCAAGTTCAACCTTAGTGATGGTTGTTTTTTTTTTGGCTTTGAACAATTGTCTTTACAGGCTTCTTGCCAAGTAGTTTTCTGCCACATCTTCAATTTGTCAGACTTGGGGAGGATGGGTAGGATAAAGCAGTAAAACTTAGCAATAAAGTCTTCTGTACATACTTAAAATGAAGTAATTTGAGAGGAGGTGAGTTTTGTTACTTCAGGTATATCCTGCATAAGCCTTTAAGGATGTTCTTGGGGGTAGGGTCCCCTCTTTCCTGTCTCGCTAGTGATGAGTTTACCTGTGCTCAGCACTGCACTTTGGATGAAGGATTTTTTTTCTTTGGGATGTATCTAATCATCACCTGGGTATATCAGTGATGTGCCCGGGCACTCCCTTGGGAGGAAGGGGTACTTCTTGGCAACCAGTAATAAAAATGATTTTGGTACTGGTTTAGGCAACAAGCACTGAGTGCTGCCATACTTGTGAAACATCCAATCTGAGAAGGTACCAGAGACAGCAAAACATCTATTTTGTTGTCTTGAGGTTTTTGCTGTTCTTCCAAGCAGGTAAGAGTGGTTTGAAATTAGCTGGAAAACTAATGAAGCATAGCTAATGTTGCTGGAGGGATGTAGTGGGCCTTAGAGAATGTTTCTGTAATGGCTTAGTGAAATGTGTACCTCTGTTTGCCATTGGGGTGGAGGGAAGCTGTGATGACAGCAGAGGACACCAGACAAATAATGTGAATGTAAATATGGTGTAGTTGTGCAGAGACAGCTCTAAGCACCAGTGGCTGAGCCAGACCGGTGTTCCATGGAGCGGGAGTGTGACATGGCCCTAATTCCTGTTCCCAATTGCGGTCCAGGGAAGGCCTCAGCTTTGCCGGAGACCACCTGGGAGCAAGCGGGGATGATGGAAGTGTGGGAGCAGTGGAAGGAACTGGTGGCAAGGCAGAGGATAGAGCCTGTGTGCCAGCTGTGTGTGAGACAGCACAGGCCTTCAATTAGCTGAGGGAATTCAGGTTAGACATTAGGAAAAAAGCCTTGAGACTTGCAGAGCAAGGCTGCTGAAAGAGCACAGGAGTCCCAGAGGTTTTCTGGGAATAACGTGACCTTGTGCTGGGACTGGAGTGCTAAAGTTGCAGAGAACAGAGAGGACCTTGAGGCTCTGGGTTTAGGCAGTTGATGTGTGAGCCAAGACAAACCCAAGCTGAGTGATTCCGCTGCTAGTTTAAATCCTGTCTGTGCCTGCAAGCACAGCTGCATGCAGATGTACTAGTGCAGTGCAGCTGCAGGCACCCGACCTGTACAGCCATGGGTGTGCTGTGCAGCGCTGCCCTGAGAGCAGGGGGTGTGTGCAGGTGGGGATAGGCCACAGCGCAGCAAAGGAGCAGCAGAATAAAACCAGCTTCTCTGCTGCTTCGGCTCCCGAAATCCTCTGGCAGCTTCCCCTAGTTGGCAGCAGGTTTCTGTCCTTGCCAGAAAACAAGTTGAGAAATGTGCTGGCTGTCTTATCTTGGGCACCTTTCTTCTCACTGCAGGAACAGGCTGCTTATGTGAGGAGTCCTTGAAGTCCTGTTTGTCACCAAGGGTATGCTCCTGTCCTCAACTTGTGGAACACAAAGCTCATGAGAATGAGGTTGCTGCTGAGGAGATAAGCTCAGTGTGTGTGGGCTGACTTCCCCTTTCCTCCAGAGTGGTCTCACTTATGCATGTGCTTGCTGTCCTTGTTCTTGGCAGCCAGGGACACCCCAAAGGCTGTGTGCTTGCCCAGCAAAGCATTAGAACCTCCCTGTGATCCACTTCCAGCTGTTTGAGGCCAGTGGGATTTGCAGAGCTGTGCAGCCAAAGGCTCAGGCCAGCTGGAGGCCATCCCAGGGCTATTATCGCCCCCTTGTTTTGTTACCAACCATGCCAACTGCACCTTCATTGCTTCATCCCAGCCCCTCTGCTTAGTAAGAACACCTCTCCAAATGCCTGCTAGTATTGGATGGTGTCTGGATATCAAATGGAATGATATCATGGAGGTAAGAAGAGGCCTGGTGTACAGCCAGGGTCACAAACCTGTGGTGAGGGGCTTGAGGTCCACTAATGCTCAGCTGCCTGCCAAGGAGGGTTGGGCAATGCTGGGAGACACTGCTTCTAGGCCCATGTCTCATGTCTGCTCATGGGCCTGTGCTGCAGAGGAACCACTTAGGACTTCTTATATTAGCACTGGAAGTTGTATTTGCTGGTTTTGATCGTTGGTGGTTTTTTTCCTTTAGTTGATCAAGCAGTGCAGAGTCAGTGCTGTGGCTGCACTTCCACACATCTGGAACACATCTGGCTGCTCTTCCAGTCTTCAACCCAGCTGCCCTTGGCAACCTCAGCTGTGAAAAGCCTGGGCTGACCTAGGGTCACCTGTGTGTGCCAGCTTGTCTTTTGGAGGTTGTTATGGGTGATACTGGTAAGGAAGTAAAGAAATCAAGGCCTGGTTTGATGGGGCTTTGAGTAACCCGGCCTTAAACACCTCCAGGAATAGGGCAGCCACAGCTTCTCGGGGCAACCTGGGCTAGTGTCTCACCACCCTCAGTCAAGAATTCCATCCTCATATCCCATCTAAATGTCCTCTCTTTCAGTTTAAAACTGTTCCCCCTCATCCTATTGCTCCCCCCCGATCCAGAGTCCCTCCACAGCTCTCCTGTAGCCCCTTTAGGGACTGGAAGGGCCTCTAAGGTGTCCCTGGAGCCTTCTCTTCTCCAGGCTGAACACCCCCAACTCTCTCAATCTGTCTTCCCACAGAGGGGCTCCAGCTGTCAGAGCATCTTTGTGGTGTCCTCTGACTCCACTCTAACAGGTCCATGTCTTTCCTATGTTGGGGGCTCCAGAGCTGGAGGCAGTACTCCAGGTGGGGTCTCCCCAGAGCAGAGGGCCAGAATCCCCTCTCTCGACCTGCTGGCCACACTTCTGATGGTGTCAAGGATACAGTTGGGTTCCTGGGCTGCAATCGTGCATTGCTGGCTCATGTTGAGCTTCTCATCAATCAACACCCCCAGGTCCTTCTCCTCATGGCTGTGCTCCATCCATTCTCTGCTGAGCCTGTCTTTGTGTTTAGGATTGCTCTGACCCAGACGTAGGACCTTGCTCTTGGCCTTGTTGAACTTCATGAGGTTGACACGGGCCTACCTTTCCAGCCTGTCCAGGTCCCTCTGGATGGCATCCCTCCCCTCCAGCGTGCTGACCTCACCACACAGCTTGGCATCATTCGCAAACTCACTGTGGGTGTACTTGATCCCACTGTCCATGTCACCAAGAAAGATGTTGAACAGCACCAGTCCCAGTACCTGGAACACCGCTTGTAACTGGTCTCCACTTGGACATCGAGCCATTGAACACAACTCTGAGTGTGACTGTCCAGTCAGTTCTTTATCCACCGAGTTGTCCATCTGTTGAATCCATGTCTCTTCAATTTAGAGACCAGGATACTGTGTGGGACGGTGGCAAACGTTTTGCACGAGTCCAGGTAGATGACATCAATTGCTCTTCCCTTGTCCACTACCGCTGTAACCCCCTTGTAGAAGGCCACCAAGTTTGTCAGGCATG